GCAGAGCTGAGTGGAGACCGGTGGAAGCCCCTTTGATTAAGAGAGTAGAGTATCTCCAGCCAACTCCAACTCGCGGCCTTCCTGGAGCGGTTTGGTTTACAGGTGTGAGGTTCACTTCTTCCTCCGCGTTCACTTCTTTCTCTCTACCATCAACCTAATGCCACAGCCCGGACCTCACGATGGCTGACAAACAGAATTCCTTCAACACAGACCAGGCTCGGAATCTGATAGACCTTCAGCCACTGCTCTGGTAGCTTTCAAAGCTCCAGCTGGCCTCTCTGGGTCCTCTACCCCGGAATTCAGGAGCTGGGAAATGTAAACACTGCATTTCCCTCCCTTTGAAAATAAAGAAAAAGAGGAGGGGGGGTGCGGAGCTGGGCTCTTGTGACCTTCACATAGCCCAGCGTGAGGGTGACAGGTCCTCCCACATGTGGGGGAAGCGGGGCACAAACTTGGCTCATTTATCACTGAAATGGTGCCTTCTGCAATGTGCATATACCTCAAATCAATGGCAGCTTCTAGAGTTGATCTCAGGAGAGGCAGGTAGAGAAGTTTCTCTTGCATGGGGATTGGCCGCCCCTAGTGAGGCAGGCGGAAATAATCTCTTAGACCGGTCATTAGACCCCACAGACACCATCCTCTCGGCCGTCTCTGTCTAGCCAGTGTAAGCCAGATGGAGGGGAGTTCAAATCAAACCTTCAGTCTGAGCCAGCGGTATTCCAAAGCCATTCCTAAGACTTCAGGATATTTCTGAGACTCACATGCTCTAGGTCACCTCTGCTCTGGGCTCCTGTGCCCAAATGTGCTTTGTCACCTGCTTATTGATTCAGACACAACCCCCAACCTCATTCTCTGCTTCCACCAAAAGCTCATCTCAACGACGCTTATGAGAATAAAACATTTTACTGAAGGGTGGGTGCTCAGAGATTCTACATAACCCACAAGTTAAAATACATTTCTGTTCCTTCTTTTAAAAGTCCAGTCGAGCAACTCAATCCTCTTGCCCATTTAGCACCCAGCCCCCCAGTCCCTCAACATTCTAGCTTTTACTCTTCCTTTCTACTCCACTCCTCTCAAGAATGGCAATCAAAATCTCAAATGCCAGTAGGGAGCAGCTGGTAACATATGTGTGGGGTGAAAAAGTAGGGTGTCGGGGCACTTGGGTGGCTCAGTGGTTGAGCATCTGCCTTCGGCTCAGGTCATGATCCCTGGGGTCCTGGGATGGAGTCCCACATTGGAATCCCCCACAGGGAGCCTGCTTCTCCCTCTGCCTGTGTCTCTGCCTCTCTCTAGCTCTCTCTTTCCCTTTGTCTCTCATGAATAAATAAATAAATAAATCTGAAAGAAAGTAAGTAAGTAGGGTGTCTGGCCATAGAGAGGACCCGCCTACCTCAAAGCATCCAGGTTCAAAACATTTTAAGCACAGTGTCCTACTAAATACTTTTGCAGGCATTTTGGCCCAAAGACTGCCAAACCTTCAGCTCTACAGCCTCTCCCTCTCTGCCACAGCCACCCAAGACCGAGCAACGGTGCCGCCGAAACTGGGGCTAGCAAGGATTTCCCCCACCACGCGTGTCCTGAAGCTGCACCAAGCGGAGGCGCGCACCAGCACGATCGATCCATCCGTTAGATGAGTGAGTTTAAGTCAGCCAGGTACCAGATGAGCCTGAGCTCAGGAACTAGACAGTCTGGGCTCACCCCTGGCTCATCTGCCTGTATATTTTTTAAATCATTATTACAGCAAAATAGAATAAAAAATTTAGCACTTTTAAGTGTTCCAGTCTGTAGCTCGTGCAACCAATACCACTCTTCATCTCCAGAACTTTGTCCTCATCTCAAAGGGAAACTCTACACCCACTAAACACTCCCCCATCCTTCCTCCCCCAGCCCCCGCTGGCCACTGTTCTATTTCTGGATGAATCTGACTGCTCTCAGTGCCTTATATAAGTAAAATCATACAGTATTCATTTGTCCTTTGTGTCTGGCTTCTTCCCCTTAGCATAATGTCTTCCAAGTCCATCCCTGTTGTGGCCTGAACTTTATTCCTTTTTAAGGCAGATGAATATTCTGGCATACGTATATACCACATTTTGTTTATCCATTGACGGACACTTTGGGTTGTTTCCACTCATTGGCTATTGGAAATAATGCAGCAACGGACGCTGGTGTACAAAGTATCTGTCAAGTTCCCGCTTTCACTTCTTCTGTGTATGTACCCAGAAGGGGAATTGCTAAGTCAAATATTTAATCTTTTGAGAAACCATGCCTGTGTATCCTTGAATAGGTCAGAGGACCTCCCTAAACCCCATTTGGAAAATGAGGATAATGATAGCCCCAACCTTATTGGGGGGGGTGGTCTGAGAATTCATGCACATACAGTATTTGGCTCACAGACTGGGCACATCATAAATGTTCGGAGAGGTTTCATCTCCTTGTCCTCTAAAATTAAGGAACTCAGACTAAATGATCTCCAGAGGCATTCCCAGCTCCAAAAATCCATGAACCCACCATCAAATTATTTTCCTGGTCGAGAAGCCAGAGCTCTCAGAGTATAGATTAGGGGAATGCTGTCTTCACGGTCGCCACAAAAATCCACCCTAGCCAAGATGGCCTAATTTTCATAGCTCTCTCCTTGGAATTTGCTAACACATCCCATTATAAACCAACATCTAATTGTTCTTGCCACTCCACTCCTTCCCCTTTGCTTTCTTTCCACATCCCCTTTCTCAGCTGGCTGCCCCTGCCCACTGAATATCTGGGCTTCAAATTATCTTCCCCGGTTGCCTTTATGTTCATTCCCTGCAAGTTAATGTCTGTTGGAAGCAACACTTGCAAAATTATCCGTATTAAGGTTTCATTCCCCAGAGTCACATATTTTAAATGAGTTTTTCCTCCTCGGCAGGATCCTGCTGGCAGAGCTACTGCTATTCGGTGAAGTCAGTGGAGTCGGGTTTCTCCCCCCACATGCTGTTTTTGTTGGGTTATCACTTGGCCTCCTGTTTACACTCTGGGCCTCCAACATGAGCCCGGTGCCGATGAGCAACAACCCCCTGTGCCATCCCAGTGCATGTTTACATTTCATCAAACACTCTTTTTAGAAAAGTCATTAGACGAAATCTGCTTTGGGGCTTTTCTAGATGGGGCCAGCTGCAGCATTCCAGCCGGGAGTGGACTCGCTCACTACTTGCAGAAATATTTTCCTTCTCCACTCTGTTTCTCCGTCTCCCCTCTCAAAAGTGAACTTTCAACAACCAAAACAGCCTCACTAGACACGTGAGGTTGCTGGAAGTTGCTCGCTGGTTCGGTCAGCAGCTTGGCTGCCAAGAGACCAGGCCCCCTTCCTGAAGCTTTTCCACAGCAAAAGGTAAAAGAGATTCTCAGGTCAGGAGTAAATGGTTTCTCCCAGATGCTGGGCAAGGAAAACAGGGCAGCTGAGCTTTCTTTTTCACCTTGTATGAGTTTAAGCCATCTCACCTGCCACGTTACAAAAAAACAAACAAACAAACAAAAAAAGCAGCAGCAGCAGGAGGGCATGGATGTAGCCTTCAGAAGCTAGTCCTTGGAGCCCGGGTGCTCTGGGAAGGGACCGGCCTCCGCTGGAGTTGGGCTAGGCCACCATGCCCAGGAGGTGCGGCCCCAAAAGGCAGAGATGGAACAGGGAGGAATCCTAATGCAAAGTCCTCAACTTACCCCTGGGTGAGCATCTGTGTTTACCTATTATCAGGCCCCTCCTGGGCTCCTTCTTCCTTCATTATTTCTTGTCTCTGGGCCCCTCTAGATGCCATGGAGGCAAAACTCAAATGAAACACTCCAGCTTAAGAGCAGATCACTTGGGAGAGAGAGGAGGATTTCACTTGGGGCCAGTAGGCCATCGGTAGATGGAAAGTATTGACCAAAATGGGTTTGTTGGGGTTTATTTTAACCCGTGTGTCTTGGCTTCTTGTTTATCATGAAGGGATGTGCCTAAGGTCGAGTCCCCGGTCCGTACAGCAGGCTACTGACCGTCTGCCCCCACCACCCCACATACCCTGTTCCGATTCTTGTACCCTCACTAGCTAGCTACCTGCAGCAACAGAGCACCCACCTCTCACGTAGAACACAGGTGGCAGGTAGCCAGCGAGGGGACAGGTAACCAGCACAGAAGGCAGGTAGCAAGTGCTCACACACCCCTGCTCCTACCAAAGCTGCCCTGTTTTGTCACATCTGCATGCATCAGCCTGTCCTTCCTTCACGAGGGCTCACCCATGTCCTGACACCCTGCCCCACTGGAGCCACCTAAGGACAGATGCTCTTAAGAAGTCCCTGCTTCCTTGCCTGCCAGAAAGCAGTGACAAGCCAAGCCTGCCACCCGCTCACCGGGTCAGGAGCACTGCCCCCCTCCCCCAGAGCTCTGTGTTGCATTTCGGCCTCACAACCCCCCGGGGGGGGGGAACCCATCTGACCTGGGGTTTGCAGCTCAGAAAATGACAGCAGAAAAACACACGCCAGAGCTCTTTCTAAACAAACGCTGTGTGTCCCCCAAAGGACTTGCACTTTCCGCCTTGGCTTTCCGCGCCTTCCCCTCCTTGTCTGGGACTATGTGCTGAGTGGGGCGGGGGGGACTCTCCCAAGCTGGGGCTCCGTCCTGAGGGGTGTGACAAGCCTCGCAGCATCAAGGACATTCACCCCGGGGACTCGCCTGCTGCAAGCCTTGCTGGGGATTGGCTTCTCTGCTAACCCGCTCTCTCCGGGGGACCCTTCTGCCTTTCAACGGCGGGAGAGGGGGGCCCGGTGCACGGATCCCCCAGGTGCTCCGAGGCTTTACAGAGCTCAGAGGAAGCCCAGCCCAGGGCACTGCAGCACCCCCCCCCCCCCGCCCCAGGCAGCTCCGACCCGCCAGCGCGGATGGTAAAGGGTGTGGAGGGTGTCCCGGTTGGGGAGAGCCGCGCGCCTGCCCCCGGCCAAGCCCCCGCCATCCCGTGGGGCTCCCCGGGGAGGGCCCCCCACGCTACTCACGGTACCTCTGGGCAAGGACGAGATGAGGAGGAGCTGCAGGAAAGCGAGCCCCAGCTGCGTCCAGCAGCCCAGCTCCATCATCGCGGTGGGGGCGCGACGGGGGGGGGGGGGGCGGGGGCAAGGGACCCCCTGGGGGACCCGGGAGGCGAGGCACCTGGGGGGGCTGGGGGACCCCGGGGGGTGGGGGGAGGGCGGGGGGGGGGCCGGGGGAGCGAGGGACCCCGGGGGTGCGGGGGACCCTGGTGGGGGCCGGGGACCCGGGAGGAGGAGGGACCCCGGGGAGGGGGGGCAGCCGAGGGACCCGGGAGGGGGAGGGATCCCGAGGGTGCGGGGGCGCCCTGGTGGGGGGCTCGGGACCCCGGGGGCTCGACCGGGCCCGGCGGCGCTCACAGCGACCTCCCCGCGCCCCGGCCGAGCGGGCGCTGGGCTCCCAGCTCTCCGGGCTCTCCCATCCTCGGCAGGGGAACCACCTTCAGCCCGAGCGACGTCAGCCCAAACCTCTCCTCGCGCCGCCTTAACCCTTGGGGGCCCGGAGGTGTGGCCGCGCGGGGAGGCCCGGGGCTGGAAGGGGAGGGGACGCAGCCCCGGGGTGGGGGGGGACCTGGATGGGGGTAGGCGGGGCCCTTCAGGTGCGGCCCGCAAGCCCCGCCCCCAGTCCTGCCCCAAGGCTCCCTCCGAGTCTGATGAGGAGCCTGGCTGGGGGGGGGGGCGCCCAAGGGGGTAAGTCGCCGACCCTCCTCCCCTTTCCACCTCTAACCCCGAGGTCTCCTCCCCCCTCAGCATCTGCTCCAGGTGATCACAATTTGGACATCTTACCCTTCGCACCTGCAGGGCATCTTCCCCGTGAGCCCCCCGGGGTGCGTTCAGCAGCGTGACCAGATCCTGCCCACCTGCCGCCCAGGTATGAGGCTCAGGGATGAAGCACACACAAGACTCTGCCTCCCTTGTGGCAGCGGCAGTCTAGGCTTAGGGATAGCAAACGGATCCTTTTTTTTTTTCTTTTTTTAAGATTTTATTTATTTATCCATGAGAGACACAGAAAGAGAGAGACAGAGACACAGGCAGAGGGAGAAGCAGGCTCCATGCAGAGAGCCCGACGTGGGACTCGATCCAGGGACTCCAGGATCATGCCCCAGGCCACAGGCAGGTGCCAAACTGCTGAGCCACCCGGGCGTCCGCAAACGGATCCTTGAATAAGGAGCAAGAAGGCTTTGCAAGATAAGAGCTAATTTTTTTAAAATCAATTTCTTGGTGCCAGGCATCTACGTCCCCTACATGTATCATCAACTCATTTATTCCTCATGATAAACCCATCATCTCCATTTTATGGATGGAGAAATGGAGTCCTTGAGCATTCAATAGTTCATCCAAGGTCTCACTGTGGGTAAGTGGTGGAGCCAAGGTTTGAACCCGGGCCCAAGGGCTATAGATCTAGCCACCACGCTCTACCACCGCTTAGGACGCTCTGAATATGGCATTTGACCTCACATACATGTACAATAGATGGTATTGTCCGCATCATACGAATGCAGAAACCGAGACTCCAAGATAAAGTGACTTGCTCAAACTGGGTGTTATTCTGTATGTTGGCAAATTGAACACCAATATAAAATAAATTTATTATTTAAAAAATTAAAAAAAAAAGTGACTTGCTCAAGGTTACTCAGCCCGAGACGGAGGCAGGATCTCAATCCAGGGATGGGTGTGGCGAGGCCTTTCTAGGAGGAAGGACTGGCTTTGGCCAGTGCCCCTGGGAAATGAGGAGTATTTACCTGCACATATTCAATTGTGTATTTTTCCTTGTCCCCAAAGAATCCATGGCAATGTATGCCATTAAAATGCATTTTGAAGTTTTGATAAAAATAGAAGTACCAGAACAAAAGCCAATTCAAGCGCATAGACAATATGTGTAGTCTGGGTGTGGCAGAGAGCAGGAAAAGAGGAAGCAAGTGGCTAGGGTGTTTGGATTTTATTCTGTAGGATGTGAGGGACTCTGGCTACTTAGGAGCAGGGGATGCTGGGCCCAAAGCAAAGCTCTAGGAAGAAAAGTCGCTTTGGCATCCAGACTGAGGGATGGGGGAGGCCAAGGCTGGTGCGGAGAGCAGCTCTGGGAAGAAAAGTCATGTTGGCGTCCAGACCGAGGGATGGGGGAGGCCAAGACTGTTGACAGAGGCGTAGGGTCAACAGTAAGCAATGGGATGAAAGGGGACATGATGGGAGAAACTTAAGGAAAGTAGAAGCCCCCAGGGCTCAGGACAGACTGGCCAGGCAGGGGCCTGGCACAGGCACTCCTCTCAGAGAGAAATTCCTAAATCCCAGCCATGCGGCTGGGGCCCATTGCAGCGAAGTGGCTGGAAGCAAGAACTAGGAATTCAGAGACCTGTGTTCAAAACCTTGATTCACCACCTTCTATCTGACTGTGAGATCATATATAATACATGCTGACCTCTCCCTCCAGTTCCTGGCACAGAGCTCCCAGCACACTGGTATTTCATGGATGATAAGAGTGTCTTTTGTCCTAATGAGGCGACTTTGGGTGGGCTCCTGGTTGGGGGCTGGTCATTAGAAAGACCAAGCCATTAGAAGCTTGCAAGTTTCAGCCCCACTCCCCATTCTCTTGAGAAGGGAAAAAGGCTGAAAGTGGAATTAATGGTGAGTAATGCCTCCATGAGGAAGCCTCCATAAAAATCCCAATAGTATAAGGTTTAGAGAGCTTGGTTGGGGAACGCATCCATGTACCAGTGGGATGATGCACCCCAACTCCACGGGGGCGGAAGCTTGGGACCCTCTCAGACCACCCCCACGGATCTCTTCATCATTTGTATCTTTTATTATATTGTTTAATAACTGGTAAATGTAAGAGTTGCCCTGATTTCTGTGAGCCCCTCAAGCGAGTCACTGAATCCAAGGGGGAGGAAGTCATATTTTAGCCAAATGGGACGGGAATGGTGGGTAACTTGGGGACCTAGTACTTGGAGTTGGTGTCTGAAGTAGGAAGGGCAGCCTCGTGGAACTGAGCCCCTGACCTGTGGGATGTGACACTCTCTCCAGGTAGTGTCAGAATTGAGTACAATTATAGGACACTCCGCTGATGCTAAAGACTTTCTTGGTGGGGGGGAGAAAAAACCCACACATACCCGGTATCAGAAGTGTCCAAAGTGAAGGAAGGGCAGGGGTTTGGGGGTTTTTCCCCAAAACAATGACCTAAACTAAGCTAACTCTCTGAATATCAGTTTCTCATCTGTAAAATGGAAATAATCATGAAACTTGGAGACAGGAGAATTTAAGGATACTATGTCCATAATAGAGCCTTTAGCACATTGCCTAGCTCATACCAAATGCTCAATAAATATTTTTATCTGTATTATGGGCCTGAGTCTGACACTAACGAAGTCCTATAGTATGGACTCTAGTCCTCACCCTCAACTTCCCTATCCAGGCACAATCTGATTAAAACAAGTGCCAAGAATAGCCTTTAAAAGGGGAGGAAAGGGCAGTCCCGGTGGCCCAGCGGTTTAGCGCCGCCTGCAGCCAAGGGCGTGATCCTGGAGTCCTGGGATCGAGTCCCATATTGGGCTCCCTGCATGGTGCCTGCTTCTCCCTCTGCCTGTGTCTCTGCCTCTCTCTCTCTAGCTGTGTCTCTATGAATAAATAAATTTAAAAAATAAAATAAAATAAAAGGCGAGGAAATACCAAAGGGCAGCATAGCTAAGGGGTGGAGACCAGAGGGGAGGTTCACTTTGTTGCTGGTCAAGCAGCCATAGTCCTTTGGTGATGGGACTGGGGAGGAGGTGACTTCGTTTCCAAATAACTGTAGGTATTAGGGCCTCTTGGGATCTGTTTCTACCATCAGCAGACAGTACCATTTCCTTCTTCCCTCATCACCAACACCCCTACACACACACACTCGACCACTTACCAATGCAGATCACTGAGCAGCAACTGTACCCAGGGTGGGACTTTGAGTGATGACCCTGAATAAGTCTCTAGTGCCAGGTCTTTGCTCCTCCAGGCTTAGGAAACTGGAAACAGGCCCTCGATCCTCTTTCTGGAATGCCCACAATAGTAATTGTTCCCTGCTGATTTGTTGTCTAATTTGGGTGTGTGAATAGCCCAGGGCTACAGAGTCTGGAAAGGATTTCTCAAAAGGAGGCAGGAGGTATTTCTCTGGGAAACTCAAAAGCCCGGATCCAGTATTACCTTGGTGAACTTGACAATAAACCCAAGTTCACAGAGGGAGGGGGAAGCCCTGGCTACAACACAGAAAAGTGTGCCCAAGGCCATAGGGCCCAACACAAATTTCAGTTTTTCTACACAAGTTTAGTTTCCTCTCTTCCCATTATATTCAACTCAGTTTTTCATATCGATAGGGTTCAGTATTGTTCTAAATCAGGCGTTCTTAACCTGGATCCCTCTAGGGAGTGAGTTTTTGGAAGGTCTTTAAACTTCCCCCAAATTACATGCAAAATTATGCATTCAATTTTTGGAGTAGGAGAGTCATAGCCTTCTTCAAAGTCTCAAGAGGATCTGCAAACTCCCAACTTATTTAGAATCAGTGGTATTCATAAGTTGACATTGAAAAGTTGACAAAATATTTGTTGGATTTGGGGCAAGTGGTTTTGTATGCACACTTGTTTTGTCTAGACGACAAACTGCACAGGGGATATTTGAAGGACCAGCCCTCCCTGTGACTTTCCCTCCCTATTTCTACCTTAAAAGTACTTGCTTTGGGCCACACTGCCTACTGGTGAATCCAGCTGGAGCCCTTAGTACCCAACTACACCTGGGCAGGTTGTCTACCCCAGGATGGTCTTAGTTCCTCATCTGTTAAGTGGGAAGAATAATGAAACCTGCCCACCGCCCAGGGTTGGAGTAAAGCACTCAGAACAGCACCTAAAATACACCAAGCACTCAGTAAACGTCAGCTATTTTTATTACAGTGAGCTCCCCCTCCTGCCCTTATCTTGGACACCCACTTCAGGCAGAAATAAATCACCAGAAAGGGGTGGGTGAAAAATAGCAAAGTGCCATGCTGAGAAGTAGGGAATGATACCTGGAATTAAGAATTATCTACTTATATTCCGCACTCGGAAGTCAACAATTGGC